ACTTTTTTGGTATCCGTCGGAAATCCGTCGGTAATATTTCCGACGGAATTTCCGCCAGAAAAATCCGTCGGTGATGCCCTTTTTTTTAGTAGTGGAATTTTATCAAATATGGATTGTTCATCAGTTATCAGGTAGTTTATCAGCCACCAGCTAATTTGTTAAACGTAGCTTTCATGGGTTATGATCGGGTGCCCATTCTTTTTCTTTTTTGTACCATGGTATCAAGACTTTGGGCTTTTTAACATACAATATTATGTAAAACATTTCATCCATCTAAACAGAACAAAAACTATCATTCGTCGATATTAAAAAAGAAACTACAAAACGTACAACTGATGATTGGATTTAATACTGGTTTAACAAATTTACCATTGATAAACCTTCAACTCATAGTAACACTACCAAACAGTACCTCTTTCTCCATTGTTGTTAACAAATTACCGATTTTAAACAATAATAACTTTAAGATTAATTCCATTAACATGAACAAGAACAACTTATAAACCAACAAATTTCAAATTTAAACCAAGAATCTTTTCTTCCATAACCGTCATTTTTGTAACATATACACATATATATAGACTTGAGATCATGTAAGACAAAACTGTTTGTGTGAGACACGATTTTTACACTACTTCACAGAAAAAACTATAAAGGTAACTTTCACAGTGTTTTTGCTATGAAGATTCGGTTTATTTTACCTTCGTAACATTTTATTGTGAAGTTTCAAGTGTAAAAATCGTGTCTCACAATATCTCACGAAAATAATATATACATATATATAGGGGGGAATGATTGAATACAAACTAGAAAACCAAACAAAATTCCTTAATTAAACTCGAGTTCGAAAGACAGATCTACAGTTACAGATCACTGTTTTTCAYCTTCTGTTTCTGGATCGGAAGTAGCACTGTTCTTGGCAAATCATCGCTAGAAATCTTCAGATTCTTGTAATTATCGTTCAACTTTTCAACAGATAACACCAAGATTGTTTCATGGAGGTTTTTAGAGTCGTCTCTTACATTTYCGTCGTTAGCAGTGCCAGCGAGAGGAAGAGATGGGTGGTTAGCCGGTGGCTTTGGGTAGTAGAAATCTGTAGGGAAGAAGTAGAACTGTTGAAGGCCCGCCATTGTTGATCAGATGGAGTTGCAGAATCTTTGTGAAGGTTTGTTTAGATGAAGATTCAGATTGATGGATATAAATAGGAGAGATGATGTGATGTTTTAGGGTTTGTATCTTGTGCTTCACGCACAAGTCAAAGCTTTCGAATCTTCTTTGTTTTCGYCGCCTTTTTTGTGTATTTTGGGACAAACTATGTGGTGTGCTACGTAATTTTTATTTAATTATTATTTGAAAAAGTATATTTTTAATATTTAAATATATCTAATTAATTTTTTTTCCGATAAATTCAGTGGGGGATTTGTGGGGGATCTTTGGCGGATATGGATAAAAGTTGACTTTTTTTGACTTTT